GCATTATTTATTGCTTCCAAGGGCCCAGCCGAGGCGTGGGTGCCTTGGGAGGAGGGTGGCAGCAAGGCAAGGATGCTCCGTGGGATGCATTTCCCCCTGAAAATAAATTGGGGGTGCTCCGAGTCGGGGGGAGGGAGTGGGGGGCTGCTGATTGGGAGGAGAACACCCATTTTTCCTTTTTTTTTTGGGGGGGGGTGGGATAATGTGGGTATGGGAATGGGTAGCAGGGTTTGATATTTGGGGTCCCCCATCAATCTGCTCCCCAGGTCAGCAGCCCCTGTGATCCCCACGCCTTTCCTAAGTGGGGAAACTGAGTCACGGGACTCAGACAAGCCTGGGGTTGCCCTGATGTCTCTTCCCAGAGGCCATGCTGGCCCACGGGAGGGGCATCACTGCCTAATGTGAGCTCGAATAAAGGGGATGAAGCTCAGCTGCGGCATTGCCTGGTTTGGGGGGATCGCAGAGGGGGCGGCAAAAGGGGCTTCCCACTCCCCACCGCCCCCCCCCCAGCCCTATCTGCGTCCTGTGGCTTTGCCCTGCGGTGCCCAAACCGGGGGCGTTTCTAGAGAAAAACGTCAAAGCAGTGGAATTTAGGAGGATGTGGCAACAGCTCTGCCGGGACGGGGAGGGGTGCTGGGGTGTCCAGTGGGGCCCCACGGGAGGTGACCCCAAAGGAATCGGGGTCCCCTGGGTGCCGCTGGTGGGGATGAGCCTTGGGGGGAAAGGTGCGGGCTGAGAATGTGCGGAACTCAGCGCTGGGATGAGCCACCCCCGACGGGCTTCCCACCGAGATCGGGGACAAAACAAGATCGGGTGGGGATGGGGAACCGTGTCCTGTCCTGCCCCACCTCGGGGAGGAGGATGAGGTGCGTCCTGGTCGGAGGGGACAGTTGGGGACAGGGCCACTGTGCCACCAAGCGTGTCCCCATCTCCAGCATCTCTGCACTTCCGAGGTGCTGGGGAGAGCTTGATCCAGGCAAAGCCACCACGCCTGGAGATTTGGGGGCTGTGACAGCTCGGGGGACAGTAGGTGACCCTCGGGATAGTGATAAGCCCTGTCCCTTGTGCTGCAGCCTGCCCTGAGCCAGGTCCTGGAGCGGGTGTGGTGTGTGGGGTTTGGTGGGAGTTTGGGGGGTTTGGTGGGATGGATCTGCTTAGTGGGGCTGGGGGTGCCGGTATAGGGTGCCAGGGTGCAGGGAGGGTGGCGGCAGGGCATGGACTGGGCACAGGCAGGGCACAGGCAGGGAACGGGCAGGGAACGGGCATGGCACGGGCATGGCACAGGCATGGCACAGACAGGGAACGGGCAGAGAATGAGCAGGGCACCGGCATGGCACGNATGATCTTGAAGGTCTCTTCCAACCCAGTGATTCTATGAATTCTGTGAGAAGGCTCACATTGTATGTATCTCTATGCAAATCTTGAGATAAGATAAAATAGTAACCTAGAAATACCATGGAATAAGACAGATATTGTTGAGAGAAATATTGAACTAGAAACAAGTTTCAATAGATAGCCTTACAAAAAAGACTAGATACTTTAGAGAAATAAAATTATGAAAGATGCATTGTAGCAGGACCCACAAAGAGTAATTTTAGATGATTAGCTGTAAGGCATTTACAGCATGGTGTACCTAAAGCTGATAGGCCATGAAACACTTAGAGTGTATGGTAATTAAGAAATCATTAGCTTCTGATTGTGATGGCATGAATTATAACATCTGTATTGTCTCACCCAAAATAGAATCAAAGTTTTTAAAACACCTCTCAGTTGCCCCATCCCTGGGTCAGCAAAGGGCAACAGTGGGTGGGCAGTGGCGGTGCCAGCCCTGTCTTCTTCCTCCTTCTCTTCCTCCTCCGCCAGATTTCGGCATGACCCGGGATATCTATGAGACGGATTATTACCGCAAGGGGGGCAAGGGGCTGCTCCCCGTGCGCTGGATGTCCCCCGAGGCGCTCAAGGACGGCATCTTCAACACCCAGTCTGACGTCTGGTGGGTGCTGGGCTGGTGGGCACAGCCGGGGGGGATTTGGGGACCCCCAGGCTGAGCAGAGGTGCTCCGGGCAGGTCCTTCGGGGTGGTGCTGTGGGAGATCGCCACGCTGGCCGAGCAGCCCTACCAGGGCATGTCCAACGAGCAGGTGCTGCGCTTCGTCATGGACAACGGCGTCCTGGAGCGGCCTGAGAACTGCCCCGACGAGCTGTGAGTGCTGGGCACAGCCCCATCCTGCTGTGCAGGGCAAATCCTGCTCTCTGCCGTGCTGGGGGG